AAACATCATTACTAAGATAACCCAGACCAAAAATGGGAAATATGGTATGTATTCTCGTATATGTGGATATTGCCTTTTAAGCCTTTGATAGGCATGCTGCACTCTGTATAAGCACAGAGGATAGATATATAAAGGACAAGGGGGAAGGGAAGGATGACTCAAGGAAGGGAAAATAGAACGTAACAATGGAGAGTCGGGAGGGGGAGGGCAGACTGGAACAGGAGGTTTAAATGGGAAGGAGGAGGGAAGGGGGGGTTGTCGTGGGAATTCCCTCAGAGTTCTGCAGCTGGTTTGATTCTGGAGTATTAGCACCTGGTTCTGATCATCCATTTGTGAACGCTGCCTTTTGTGCCTGCCACCTTCTGTTTGAAGTATGTGAATCTTATCTGAGCGGTTCCTAAAGGTTCAAAGCCTATGCAAAACTTGCCTGTGGGAAGACTCAGAAAACTGAAATGCCTGTGACTGGGAATTGCTTTGGCATTTGACCCTTTGGGGTGCTTCAGGTAAGAGGTTTTGGTAATGCAGAAATTGACTTGCTAATGGTGTAAATAGTATAATAATAAAAAGTATTATCCAGGTCAGCTCACCAGAGGCTGACTCCCCTGCAGCTGCGAAGGTTAAAATTCATCCTAGAGAGACCCTGATTCTACCAGGGACCCCCGTGAACTGAACACCTGACAGGACAGGGTAAAGAAGGAATTAAGGGAGGGACACACCACTAATCACCCTTTGAGGGATCATATGGAAACTGATAGAAGCCAGTGTAGAAGCTTCTTCAATTATATACATACCCGAAATAAACCTAGATAGAGTCCCCAGATAATGGGGGCGACAATGCCCCAACTCGACATCTCTTGTCACCAAGGGTCAGGAATGGGTTACATCTAATGAGTTGTTGGCCCAAAGGGTTCCATAGAAACCCCCAAACGACTCAGGGTTCCATAGAAACCCCCAAACGACTCAGGCTTCCCAAGGCTATTGGTTGCACTCCACAAACTGAGGGTAAGGCCCTGCTACTTACTGTCAAGTTGGGAGCATAGGCCCCAGTCCCTCACATCTATCCCAGCCCTCAGGCCTGGTCTGGACTCCAAATCCCAGCAGGCCAGATCCTGACCCCTCCCTGGAGATGGGGTCAGGACCACTCCCCAGGGTACTTAGGTGATCTCCCAAAAGAGGAACACGTTGTTTCCCTTTCTTTCTCCAGGGGGGTCATGTTCCCCCCCCTCAGGGCCACCGAGAGCACAGATTTCCCATTAAATCTGGATATCTTTTAATTTGGCTTGTTTTGGGAATTTTGCATTGGCGGGGAGTTTGTGTAAAGAAATATTCCTAACATCTTCCTTTAAATATATGAATTTTAACTTCTGTTTCTAGTTTGAATTTGTCTCAACAGGTTCCTCTTGGTTGGCAGATACAACCAAGCACCCATTGGTGACTACAGTCTGCTACAAATGACTGTGGATCCTGGATTTGCTAAAAATGGATATGGATCAGTCTAGCTGATGTGAATGCTCCCTGGTCTTCAACAGAGTCCACAAACTAGATGCTCCTGATAAATACCCCGACATCCTGAATACCCTCTGTTTTTGACTAGTATTTCTCCTTTGTTAGTTCTAGACAAGGACATCCCACAGTCAGCTGGAAGCAGTTAAAAGAATAATTGTTGAAGTAGGAGCGGCGGCGCTGCATCCCCAGCACCCGGCCGCCCGCATGGCTAGCTTATGCCCAGAAATAATTACACGGAAACTGTATTCTTTCAAACACTGCCTGGCCCGGCTAGTTCCAGTTTCTTATTGGCTAGCTCTTACATATTGTTCTAACCCATTTCTAATATTCTGTGTAGCCCACGAGCTGGCTTACCAGGGAGGATCTTAACCTGCGTCTGTCTGGAGCGGGAGAATCATGGCGACTCTTCACTAAGCTTCTTTTCCCCAGCATTCTCCTCTGTCTACTCCGCCTACCTAATTTTCTGTCCTATGAGGGCCGAGGCAGTTTCTTTATTATTAACCAATGAAATCAACAGATAAGATACAAGACCCACCTCCATCAAATAATTGTTTTGTAACCCCTAGTTGAGATGCCACATCAAAAGGGAACTCCCTTACATAGGAAGACTCAGCAGTTTTAGGAAAGAAACTCTATTTTTACACTAACTATTCAGGAAATATAAGAGACAATTTGGCCAAAGTTAGGAAAAGATTGGCCAAGCACAAAGAAAAAACAAAAAAGATAAAAGAAAAAAATTTGACTCTTCACAAGGATGGCTTGAATCCTGGTTTAATAGTTAGCTCTCCTTGGTTAACCACCCTTATTTCTGCTGTTATAGGACCTTCACTGGTTTTGCTAGTTATTTTGACTGTTGGCCCATGGATAATCAACAGACTGGTACAGTTTCTAAAACAAAGGTTTAGTCCCATTCCATTTATGCTAATGCTAATTCATGTCATTCGGTCTATTATTTCATTGGCAACAAAGACAAAATAGAATTTGAAAGTTATTCTCATCAGGTTGAGGAACCTAGAGTTCAGGAATGAACTCCACTTAGAACTCCCAGTGGGGAATGAAATGCCAGAAGAGATTCCATTTTTGTGCTGGGCCCTTGAACTACACCCCAGACCCCAGGATAAACTGAAGGTTACAGAGGAGCTGAAGGCCGACTCCCCACTCCCACCCCAGCCCCCAGGATAAGCTGAAGGCCCTAGGACCCCTCTTTAGGGAAAGTTAAAATTGCTGACTGCAGCCCATTCTCCCACCCAACTTCCCCTATCAGCTGGGTGATACAGCTGGGCGATATTTCAAGCAGCCCCTGTGGTAAGCACAGGGTCAGCAGATGTGTGGAGGACATAACCAGGGGCTGTGCTCTCCCCCTTAGATGCTAACAGCCTATCAGGAACCAACAGCTGAGCTTCACCCCACCTTTAGCCAATTGTGAAATAGGATAAGAAATTTTGTATTTTGAGACTGTAACCTTGTGACTGCTTTGTGGTTTTTGTCTTTATAAACCCCTTACAAAAATAGACAGGGGTCCTTCTCCCTCCATTTGCTGTGTCAGACTGTGAGGCAGAGGACACGTGCTAGCCTGTACTTAATAAAGGAGACCTTGCTTTGAATTTGGAAGTGTGGCTCCGTGGTGGTCTTCTTGGGGGTCCTAGGACTCAGGGACAACAGTGTCACTGTGGAGGCATGGTTTGAGGTCTCATGGATGCTCAAGCTATGCCCAATGGCCCGTTGTGGAACATCTCTGCTGCCTGTGTGTCCAGATGTAGACCTCTCAGTTCCTTCTCCAGCGCCACGTCTGCCTGCCTGCCACCCACCATGATGATAATGGACTAAACCTCTGAAACCGTAAGCAAGCCTCCATGAAATATGTTCTTTATAAGAGCTGCTGTGGTCATGATGTCTCTTCACAGCAGTAAAGCCTTAGTTAAAACAACTGCTTTTGGGGCTTCTCAGTCCACACATCAGCTTGATCGCCGCCGCCTGTAACTTCAACTGCAGTGATTTGACGCCGCTTCTGGCCTCTCTGGGCACTACACTCATGCACAAGCCGCATGCATGCACACATATACACATAATTAAAAATAAAAGAAACAAAAGCCCGACGTTATTCAGTCACTTAGCACCTTGTCTGAGCTTTGGACCTGGGGAATAAGTAAGTACAAACATGTTGTTAACACACATTGAATAGCACACATTTTTGTGAAATTTAACATTTAAACAATAATTGTATATGCATTATTATGATTATGGTAACTTGACATTAGGTTTCATAAAATTAATAATATATTTAAAGCAAAAGTTCACATTGCTACTTGAATGAGCACTACGTGATGCCTCAACTCCATGTCTGTCAGTAACAGTATGACAGAACATGGAATTTATTTTCTGAAAAACCATATAACCTTAGCATCTCCTCCCCTACAAGGCCATCTATTTTAAAGCAAGAATTTGTGTCTCCTCAATATTTGCTAGAGTCTTCATCTAGTTAAGTCTTAGCTAAAGACCTAGAGTTCACAAGTAAAGAGTTGGCTAGCTAGGGTGGCTTCTAAATAATTATTTAAGGAATTCACTTAAGAAGAGAAGCTCACTGTGTGCTAGAAGACAGCAAGATTATAGTGGAGATCAAATATTACTAAATTGAATGTCCCCGCAATTGCACAAATGGTGAGTCACACTTTATCCTTTCTCAGGGGATGCCTAGGCCAGTGAACATCTCACCTTGAAATTCAAATCATATCTCTGGGAGAATGAATCTTTGGGGCCACTTGCCTTGAGATACTTTGTTATCTAGCAAAACAAAACAAAACAAAACAAAAAACCAAACACACTGTGGCGGCTTGGACGGGAATGTCCCCATGGACTCCTGTGTTTGAATGCTTGGCCCATCAGGAGTGGCACTTGTTGGAGTGAATGTGACCTTGCTGGAGGAAGTAAGTCTCCACGGGGTGGGCTTTGAGGTTTCGGAAGCTCAAGTCAGCTCTGTCCCTGCTGCCTGAGGATCAAAATATAGAACTCTCAACTCCTTCTCTAGCTCCATGTCTGCCTGCACGCTGCCACGTTTTCCACCCTGTCGATAATGGACTAAACATCTGAACAGTAAGCCAGTCCCAATTGAATGTTTTCCTTTCTAAGAGCAATGGAGACCCTAAGACATACACATAGCAGAACTGTGGAAGAGAAACAACACTCAGCAGGCGTAGGTCACAGGGAGTTTCAGGAGAAACACATTCAGGGTGCGCACATATCTGGGGCGTTCCTCGGTGGATCTCTTGGCATTATCAGGGGATGGCATGGACATTCAAACATTTGAGAAGAGTGTGAAACTCATTGTTTTCTTGAACATTGTGCCATTCATGACTTGAGGAAGAAAGGCTCTCAAGAGTTCTGATGTTAGGATTGTGGATTGCCCCTGCCAGTTTAGAAGGAATGTGTCCTTCTAGAGTTCATAGCAAATTCGTGGAAATCAAAACAGTACTATACAATCTTTTTTTTTTTAAAAAAAATAATATATATCCGTACAGCTTTATTTTCTTCAGCAACAAACATTTAAGAACCAGACTAAACAAGTGGCCCCTAAGGACCTGAAGACCAAGTCAGGCAAAAAATATTAGGCCCGGCATTTAAGTAGCCGTTACTATTTCTGGAATCTCTTCCGTAGGATTGTACTGCTTGTACTGTTTAGGAGAGACCGGACATAAGGGCAAACCTGAGCGCCTTCTCCCAGCCAGGCTTAACGAGAAACTGGGGGCCCAAAGCGTTGTATGGTGTTCACCACTAGGGAAAGCTGGTCAAGAAAGTTCATGATGGAAATTCGGAGGAGGCGAGAGTCTCCCGAGATCCAGTGTGCTTCCAGCACGCAGCCGCTCACTTTAAGCTCCTTCCCCAACAGTCCTTGGTGCGGTTCGGCATCAGGAGCTAGGGACCCACAGGCGATTTCTGCTTCCAAAGAGGTTGGGAAAGGCACTGTAAGCGCGAATCTGTGATGTGGGATTCCCGGCCTGTGGGTAAAAGGCATGGTGCTTTTACTCCAACTGGAGACTTCCGGTGCTCGTGCAACAGGGTGAGCTCCACTGGGAATAACTGCCACTGAGCCTGCATCCGGGACAGCAGCGCCTAGTCCGGGAATCTGCCCATGTGCAGTGTGGCCTAACCCTCTCTGTGCTCCCTGCATGTCTACTGCTGCTCCTTTACAATCTTACACCTAGCTTTTTATTTTTATATTAAAAAACATTTATATATAACTTGAAAATAAAAAAAAAAAACACCACAGAGTGAAATTAGCCAGACTCAAAGTCTATTCATCTCAATGACGTTCTATAGTTAGGATAGCTATCCTGAGGCCATGGAGACTCCACTTCGGGTTTTGCACTTTTACTATCCATTAATCACAAAAGATAAAAAAAAATCTAAGACAGAGTTAAGACTAGAAAGACTAACCTCTGTCGTGACTCACTGCCATTTTTCTGCAATATTACAGGGAAGGTTCTGCATATGGTGGGGGACATGCTGTAAGTGGGTGACCTCACTCTATAGTATATATTCTAAGTCCATCCATTTTCCCACAATTTTCATGATTTCTGGGTTGCATGAGACAAAGAGGTCACTCCAAGAAGAAATGTTAAGGCCTGTGTGACAGAGAGGAGGTCCAGCCTCTGATGGACTGAACCCTGAACAGCTACACCAAGGTGTTTTTATTGATTGTTACATAAAGTTGTTTTTGGGGTAAAGTATTTCCTGATACCTATTCTAATTCACATGTCTCTAAAGGACAGCATCACCTGCCCCACACATTTGCAGTCCACAATAATCCTAGAGATTCAGGTGTGCCCGAAGCATCTGTGACCAAAGTCAAGCAAGGGCTGCAATGCCCCTTCAGAGCAGTTCTGCAAATCGTGGAAAACAATCACCACTTTCCACAATGATTCTTCAAAGTCAAACACCTGTTCAATCTAGTGATTTGTCCCCGAGTCCTACAACAGATTGCATTCTTCTTCAGAGCTGGAGAGTATTCCATTGTATGGATGTACCCGATGTCCATTATCCATATCTGTCGATGGACAACTAGGCTAATTCCATTACCTTGTTATATGAATAGAGCACCAATAAACATGGAGTACAAATATCTCTATGGTAGGGTGTGAAATTCGTTATATGAATAGAGCACCAATAAACATGGAGTACAAATATCTCTATGGTAGGGTGTGAAATTCCTGGGGGGGTCTGACCAGGAGAGAAATAGCTGGATCACATGGTAGTTCTATCTTTAATTTTTTTGAGAAATCTCCAAAGTAGCTATATTAATTTGCCCCTCTCCCATCAGTGAGCAAGGGGTTCTGTCCACACCCTCTCTAACATTTGTTGGTAGATTCCGACTGGGGTGAGGTGGTATCTCAAAGTAATTTTAATTTGCATTTTCCTCATGGCTAGAGACACTGAACACTTTAAAAAATTAGTCATTTGTGTTTCCCTTTTGAAACTGACTTTTCTTCCATTATCCCATTTGCTGATTGGCAGTTTTTATTTTCTTGTTATTTAATTTCTGCAGTTCTCTGTAAGTTCTGCATGTCAGCCCCCTGTCTGAAGCATCGTTGGTAGAGATGTTCCCCCATTCTGTGGGCTGTGTGCTCACAGCTTCCTTTGCTGTGCAGAAAAGTTTTATTTCATGTAGTCACGTCTGTCAATATTTAGGACTGTCTCCTGTGCTATTTGTGTTACATTCAAAAAGAAAGTTCTTGCCTGCCCAGTGTCTTGAATTATATTCCCTACATTTTCTTTCCTTTGATATTTTTACTATTATTCTATTGCCCTGAGTTTCTTCTGTGGTCATGTCTATTTGAAGCTCTACATACCTCTTGTGCTTGATTGTCTACTTTTCCTCTAAGTTTTGGAATTTTTCTACCATGTTCACTTTGGAGACTAGCTTGGGTAAATTTCTAAATTTGTGCATCTGTTTGTTGACATGTCCTTTATGAGTTGTTCTCAACCTGTGGGTCTTGATCCCAGAAAGACCATTAGAAAACACAGATATTTACATTTCAACTCAAAACAGTAGCAAACTTGCAGTTGAGAAGTACACAACACAAATAATTTTATGGTTGGGGGTCACGGCAACATGAGGAACTATATTAAAGGGTCGCAGCATCAGGAAGGTTGAGAACCACTGGCCTAGATGATCATTAATTCTCTCTCAGGCATGTTAACTGTCTCTGTGGTTGGGATTCCTGACAGGGCGTTAGCGGGACAGGGTAGGCTGTGGTGGTGGTTGCGGTTGTGTCATGGTCTTTGTTGGTCGTGTTTCACGCATCTGTTGGAGTGGGATTCACTTTCAGTTTGATCTCCTCTTTTTCCAAACCTGTTTGGATATTTTGTTTTCCGTGACTCTTCCTAGAAAGAAGAGTTCACGAAGCACGAAGTTCTGCTGTAGGGATGGTGAGACTTGGTGTTGACCGTCCAGTGCAGTTGCTGAGGTGATCCCTTCTCGGCTGTATGAGAACAGGGTTGAGAGTGGGCTGCACACTAAGCATGAAGGTGAGCATGTAGAGTCTAAACTGAGATTGCATCTCGCATTTTGTGAGCCTGTTTGGGGCAGGATAACACATGTTGAACCCACTGTGGTCTGTGTATTATCTGGAGGCTGTGGTTAGAGTCACAGACCTGAAGTGACCTCTATGACCATGGCAGTATAGACTCTGGATCCTGCAGTGACCACTGGAACTTGAGAAGTCAGACCCCATGCCAACACCGACATTAGAGACGCCTGGAGCCCAAACCCCAGTCTCTAAAATGATCTTAGGTATAATGAAGAAAAAGTTGGACTCTGCCCTGATCCTTGGGGCACTGGTGGTAGAAGCCTGGTTTTGGGGGTACACACAGATCTATAGGGACTAGAGAGCCAATGTCCAGTGCACTCTTTTCCCACAGAGACTCGAGGGTCTAGATGTGGGCAGTTTGTTCCACTGTGTCCCAATGTCTTTCTCTGGCTTCCTGAGAATTAGGACTGACGCCAGGCTGGTGCTCTGTGAAAAGCGGGAATTGCCACCTCTGTTCCAGACCTGTATCTGACCACCACCACACTGTACTTATCAGAATGAAGTGCCAATAATTTGTTTTCTGAATATTATTACAACCTTTGTTGAAAACCAGTTGACAGTATTCTGTAAGCTTGCCATTAGCTGACAAAGCACTCAAAGAAGACATCCTACAGTAGAGACAAATTGGTTTTTTAAGGCTGTCAGTATTTTACTTTGATCCTTTGGTGCAGAAAATTCTCTTGAATGAGCACGGAGAAGCACAGAGCAGCTCACCTTGTGTAGTCAGGAAGACAAGAGAGGGAAAAGAAACTGGGAAACCAGTATCTCCTCAGGAATTCTTCTCCATGGCCTCATTTGCCCCCACCGGCTCTGTCTGCTTAATATCATCACAGAGAGGGGACAAAACTATAATACCTGGTCTTCAACACAAATCCGAAACTTAATACTGAACACGCACTCTTCTACACTTAGGCGTTTCAACCTTGGTTTAAATTTTTAAATTTTTGTGAAACATTAATCCATGAGTTGTGTTGCTTAGGTTTCTATTGCTGTAATAAACATGACGACTAAAAGCCCTTGAGAAGGAAAGGGTTAATTTCATCTCGCAGAATAGTTTGTCTTCTAGGGAAGTCAGAACAGGAACTCAAGGCAGGAACCTGAGGGCAGGAA